GGGGCGGTCAAGAGGCAGGCCACACGAAGTATGAAATGCAAATAACAGAACTGAAGTGCAATAGGTCCCCAGTTCAAACCCGGGTCAGGGGGAAAAAAAAAACAAACTAACGTGCTCAGATTGGTTAGCATCTGATTTTGTCAGTTGTGAGCCAAAATGGAATTGTTACCGTATGTCAACTACCAGAGCTATTTATAGAAGAGGAAGCCGCCTGTTGTTAGACTGATGAAGCTGTACCAGAAATCTCAGTAATCGCACCCCTGGCAGATATCGGTCACAGCAGCAGTGGAAAAACACCTTCGAACAGCAGGCATGCAACATCTTCCAGCGTCCGACAGACCGACACACACACCAGCCAACCAACCCACGGACTGACCAACCGACCGGCCGAATGACTGACTAACCGACCAGCCGACGGACAGACAAACAGACATATACTGACATACACATGTGCTGACCGACAGACATGCGAATAATCAGCTGGCCTCCATGAATCCACAAAGCTCTCATACCATTTTTGATGATGGTCATGATGAGGGTGGAGATGATGTTCCTGGCAATTATCATACTGATCGTGATGACGAGGGCAGTGATGATGATGATGACGACAATTATAACCACAATGACAAATAATAAGGATGATGGCAATGAGAACAACACTATGAGAGCGATGGGCGTGATGATGATCGGGATGAACAGAATGACAACGATTATGAACACGATCATGCGCACAATGAGGAGGAGGAACAGAACGAAAAGACCAAACGGGACAAACAGGACTATAATGACAATGATTAGACAATGATGATGACGAAGATGAGCGATTTCAGGAGAAGTGGGAAAAAGGTGAGGAAGAGGAGGCTGGAGAGGATAACAGTGAGAATGACAGAGGGCAGTGCAACAGTGAGGACCAGAGAGAGGACAACCGTGAGGACGGCAGTGAGGGAATCACTGGGGATGGCAGTGAAAAGAGCCGCAAGGCAAGCAGAAAGGGAGGAGGAAACGGAGGACAAGGAGAAAAGGGGGGAACCAGAGAACGGATGTAAAAGCCAAAAAGAAACGAAAGCAAGACAGATGAAGGGCCTCGGGCAGAGAAGTTCACACACCTCCTGGATGGCACAGAGGGCTTCCGCTGTCCACCGCATTGGATCACGAGCTTTCTTGTCAGTAATTTCTTTTACCTGGATAAACGCGCCAAGAAAAGACGCGTCATTGCATTTGAAATAAGAATAATAAGTTCAAAGGCCGGGCCCTTGGCCGGAAGAAGCAGTTTCTTGTATTAAAAACAAACAATACAACGTTAGAAACAGAAAACTTTAACAAGGGATGATTCTGTGGTTTAACAGTTACGCGAGCATCCCAACCATCTGTGAAGTCCATGAGTTGTGTTACATGCCCAGTTGGGCATAGCCAAGGATCCGCAATGCGATAAAAAGGACTGAATGGACAATGCAATGTTAGTGGAATCTCAACAAGCAA